TTACAGGACATACATGCAAAAATCTATGACCATAGATGCAAAAATCCTAAACAAAATACTAGCAAGTCGAACACAATAATACATTAAAAGGATAATGTATCATGATGAAGTGGGATTCCATCCAGGAATACAAACATGATTTAACATATACAAACATATCAATGTGATACACCACTAACAAAATAAAAGATAAAAATCATATATCGGTAGATGCAGAAAAAGCGTTCAACAACATACAGCATCCACTTATGATTTTAAAACGCTCAAAACAGATGTAGAAGGAAACTACCTTAACATAATGGGGGCCATATATTACAAACCCTCAGCTAATACCATATTCAATGGTGAAAAACTGAAAGCTTTTCCTCTAAAATCAAGAACAAGACAAAGATGCCCACCCTCACCAGTGTTATTTATCATAGTACTGGAAGTCCGGCCAGAACAATCAAACAAGAAAAAGAAATAAAAGGTATCCATATTGGGGGTGAAGAAGTAAAACTGTCACTATTCACAGATGGCATGAGTTTATATATAGATAATCCAAAAGACTACACCAAAAGGCTATTAGAAACAATAAACAAATACAATAAAGTTAAAGGATATCAATAATCAATATTGAAAATCAATATACAAAAATCTATTGCATTCCTATATACTACTAATAAAATATCAGAAAAAGAAAACAATCTCATTTACAACTGCAAAAAAAAGATAAAATACCTAAGAATAAACTTAAAGGAAATGAAGGAACTGTACACTGAAGACTATAAAACATTATTGAAAGAAGATACAAAGAAATGGAAAGATATCCATGTTTATGGATTGGAAGAATTAACATTATTAAAGTGTCCATATTACCTAAAGCAATATACATATTTAATGCAATCCACTTCAAAATCCCAATGGTATTTTTCACAGAAATAAAATTTAAAATCTTCAAATGTCTATGGAGCCACAAAAAAATCCCAAAACAGCCAAAACAATCATGAGAAAAAAGAACAGAGGTATCACACTCCCTGATTTGTTGTGCTATAAAGTTACAATAATTATAACAGTATGATATTGACAAAAAAAAAAAACAAAACAGACATGCAGACCAATGGAACAGAATTGAGAGCCCAGAAAAAAAATCTATACATACAAGTACAAGAAATCTTTGAAAAAGGAGTCAAAAAAGTACAATGTAGAAAAAAAAGCCTTGGCCCTGGCTGGGTAGTTTATTTGGTTAGAACATCATCCCAAAACATCAAGGTTGTGGGTTCAATCGCTGGTCAGGGCACAAACAAGGATCAATCAATAAATGCATAAGTAAGTGGAACAAAAAAATTAATGTTTCCCTCCCACTCTCTGTTTCTGTCTCTGTCTGTTTCTCTCTCTCTAAAAAAAAAAATAATAATTTTTAAAAAAAAGCCTCTTCAATAAACAGAGCTGGGAAAACTAGAAAGACACACACAAAAGAATGAAACTAGAAGATTTGTCCAGTCAGGATGGCAGCACAGCTAAACGCGGCTCACCTCATCATAAAATCACATCAAAATTACAACTAAATTATAGAACAACCATCACTTAGAACCAGTAGAAATCAAGCTGAATGGAAGTCTGACAGCTACAGAATTAAAGAAACAACATCCATCCAGAGTGGTAGGAGGGGCAGAGACACGGAATGGACTGGTCCCACATTCATGTTTGGTGGATAAAAATTCAAAAGGCATATCTCAGAGATGAGGAGTCCCAGCCCCACACCAGGTTCCCCGGCCTAGGGTTCTAGTGCCAGAAAGATAAATCCCGATTACTTCTGGCTGCAATATCCAGCAGGGATTGAGTAGGTGGAAGAAACTTCTCAGTCCCAAGCAGTTCCTCTTAAAGAACCCACACACAAACTTACTCAGACTCACTCTCTCTGAGCTCCATCACCCAGGTAGCAACTTGAAAGGCACCAGTGGCATACAGGGAAGAACTGAAGTATCTGGCATCAAGGCGAGAACTGGGGGACAGCTTTCTCCCAGACAGAAGGGCAAGAAGACTCACAGAGCCTGCAGGCAGGTGCCATATTTGAGACTCCATCAACCTGGCTAACACTGCCCAGCCCTGGAGATCCCCTGAGGCTCCATCACATCCAATTTATAGCCGTTAACAGTAGCTTTTCCATATGAATGGCTGGTTTTGGCTCAAGCTTCACAACTTCCTAAATCCTCTCAAACAAGCAACAACCAGCCTCAGTGAGCTCCCAGTCTCTATACCTATTGCTAAGTGGTCCCGGGCCTGGCACTAGCAGCAGCCAGCTTAAATTCACAGCTTGACTTCACCTAGGAATCTCCAAGCCAGCAAAAGTAGCAGCCATCTCAGATTGCTCTATAGCTCAGGCAGCATGACCCTGGGCAAAGCACAGTTAGGGGTTGACCTTGACCTTCACCACCCAGGAAACCCCAGGGCCTGTGCCCCCAGTGGACAGCTACAGACCACATGGGAGCACCACCACCCTGCCCCTGAACAGCTGATCCTCCATGGACCATGGAGGATGGTGGTCAGTGGTCACAGCCAACCCTTGCAACTGACTGGCCTGGGTAAATCCCTTTCATTGACCTGCCAGCAGCAACCAAGTTTCAACTATAAGAGGAGGGTATACTCAACCCACATGAAGGGCACACCTCAAGTACCCACGTTGAGTTATAGGGGAGGCTGTGCCACTGGACCCTACAGGACACCTGCTGCATTAGGCCACACTACCAAGACACAGAGTCATAGCAGCTCTACCTAATACATAGAAACAAGCACAGGGAAGCTGCCACAATGAAGAGACAAAGAAACATGGCCAAAATGAAAGAACAGATCATAACTCCAGAGAAACACCTAAACAAATGGAGATAAGCAATCTTTCAGATTCAGAGTTCAAAACACTGGTTATAAAGATGCTCAAGGAACTTAGTGAGGACTTCGAAATTATAAAAAAGATCCAGTCAGAAATGAAGGATACACTCATTAAAATAAAGAACAATTTACAGGGAAACAACAGTAGAGTGAATGAAGCTGAGAATCAAACCAATGATTTGGAACATAAGGAAACAAAAAACAACCAATCAGAACAACAAGAAGAAAAAAGAATCCAAAAAAATGAGGAGAGTATAAGCAGCCTAACATTTAGAATCAAAAAGCAGATAGAGAGCTTCCCAGACAAGAAAAGACTAAAGGAGTTCATCATCACCAAATCATTATTATATAAAATGTTAAAGGGACTTACTTAAAAAAAGAAGATCAAAACTTTGAACAATAAAATGGCAATAAATGTATATCTATCAAAACTAGAGTATGAAAAACAAACTATGCAAACAAGAACAGAGAGAGAATCATGGATACAATGAGTATTTTGATGGTTGCCAGATGGGAGGAGGGTGTGGGGGACGGGCGAAGAAGTGAGGGGGTTAAGAAGTACAAATAGGTAGTTACAGAATAGCCATGGGAATGTAGAGTCCAGTATAGAAAATGGAGTGGCCAAAGAACTTATACACATGACCCATGGGCATGAACAATGTGTGGGGATTGCCTGAGGGAGGGAGGGTGCTGGGTGAAGGGGAGCAAAGGAGAAAAAATTAGGACAATTGTAATAGCATAAATAATAGAATACAATTTTTTTAAAAGAGTGAAACTAGACTGCTATCTGACACCATGCACAAAAATTAGCTCAGAATGGATTGAAGACTTTACTATAAGACATAAAAAAATAAAATACACGGAAGGAAACATAGGCACTAAACATAATAGGCTTTAGTCTCAGAGAGTCTTGTGATTTTGACCCCAAGGCAAGGGGAAAAGATGCTACACAGCTAAAGAAACCATCAAGAAAACAAAAAGGCAATCAACCCAATGGGAGAAGATATTTGCAAATGATACTTAAAGAAGGAGGTATATATTCAAAATATATAAGAACTCATACAACCCAGCAACAAAAAAACAAATAACTAGATTAAAATAATGGGCAAAGGACCTATCTGTTTTCACATAGCCAGCAGATCTATGAAAAGATGCTCGAATGTGAAGGGGGTCAAATACATGGTGATGGTAGGAGACAAGACTTTGGGCGGTGAACAGACAATGGGATATATAGATGCTATATTATAAAGTTGTACACCTGAAATGTATATAATGTTATTAACCAATGTTACCCCAAGAAATTTAATAAAAATAAGTAAACACATAGAAAGGGTGGGGCTAAGAAGTGCCTGTATTGGGAAGAGGATATGGAGTTGGGTGTGAGGTAAGAAATAAATAAAATTAAATTAAGAGCTGACATTTGGACCCAGTGCCAGATAGTGTACACCAGGTTTACCAGCAGAAGCTCACTGAAGCCTTCCGGCCGCCCTATAGGGCATTGTCCATTTTACAGATGAAAATCTGAGGCTTGGATTGGTCAAGTAACTTAGTGAAAGGGCTCATGAGAGGGAGGCGGACTTACTGCAGTTAGAGCAGTGTTCTGTGCTTGCAAAGCCTCCTTGGCCTTTGGCTCCCTTCCATGCTCATCAGAGAACCTGATGGATCCTGAGGCTTGAAAGACTAGAAATAGCTGGTGATGGAGTGGAGATGGGGAGCCAGTAGGGCCTGGACTGCCAGGGACCTGAAGAAAGGCCGTAGAGGTGGAGTAAGAAGCAGGGGGATGCCCCTCCTCCCCGGCCATACTAAAGCCCACCTTTTACGCTGGCGCCCCTGCTCAGAGTCATGGGTGGTAGGACTCATGCTGCCCAGGAAACAAGGAATGTCTTCAAGCTCCTCCTAGGCCCCAGGAATCCTTATTAAACCTCCTTAGGAGCTGCCTCCAGGCCTTTCTGAAAGGAGGGGGCATTTTCCTCTGCAGGTCCTTCAATTCTAGAGGGCAGCCTTCCCTTTATTGCTCAGGATTCAGCCCTACCCACTGCGGCGCAGACCCAGCCTTCCCCCAGGGAAGACAGTGGCTCTTTCCAGCACCACGCCCAGTCAACCCAGGACACCCTGGGTAGGAACTCTCTCACCTTTTCACGGCAATGGCCACCAGTGTGAAAATGGGAGCCAACACAGAGATGCCCTGCACCGAGCCACTCATCTTGCACGTGGCATTGTCAACAGACCACCCTGCAATGACAGAGGCTGCCACAGAATAAGATATCTCCTCTACAAAGGGCCAAGGGCCTCAGACCATCTAAGCCAGTCCCCTCTGTGATTTGGATCTTCCCTCTATGTCCTGGCAGGCAGTCCCCTCATCTCTTCTTACATGCTTCCAGGAATGAGGAACTGACCATCCATTACCACCATAGACAGCTCTGACTGTTAGAGAGACAGTCTTTTTATCAACCATAGATTTCTTTCCATGAGCTTTGGATCCATCCAGCCCAATGCAGTTGGTAAGAATGCATACAAAGCAAAAGACACACACTACATTTAATAGAATGTTTGCTATGGGGAAGGGGATTTAGAGCAGTGTAGGGGTATAGAAGGGAATGAATAAATAAAAAAAATAAGCAAGGGGCTTTACAATAGAGTGAAGTCACATGGTGCCATGAACTAGGGATGTGACAAATTCAACCATCTGGACCTGTGTTCTGAAAAAAAGAGAAAGAGAAAGAGAAAGACAGGGAGGGAGAGAGAAAGGAAAGTGAAGGAGAGAGAAAAAGAAGGGAAGGAAAGAAAAGGACAAAAAAGTCATATGAAGTTTTATTTTAAGGCAGAACATTCTATTAAAAACAACTCCTCAATACCCATCAAAAAGAGACTGGTTAAATACATTGTAACACATCCATACAATGGAACTCTAAGCAGTTGTAAGAAGAATGAAACTGTTTAATTTATTAACATAAAATAATTTCATGTAAATTAATTTTAACAAATTCTATTTACAACATACATGCTATATGTTTAAGCAGAGAAAGGGTGAAAGTGTAGAATTGACTGGAAGGTTAGCATTTTTAAAAAATTTGTTTGTACTTGTACGAAATACTTCTGTAAAGAGACACAGGAAACAGGCAACATTGTTCTCCTAGAGAGGAACTGGTGGAGGGGACATTTTTCACTGGATACCTTTGGGAGATATTTATTATCGAACTATGTGGATGTGTTATCTATTAAATTTTTTTTAATATAGGCATGTAAAACCACCTTAACCAACTGGTGATCTCATCATGTCATTGTTGACTGGTGTGTGTGTCTGTATGTGTGGACATGTATGCATATGTGTGTGTCTTGGTGTGTTGGGAAGAAAAATGCACAGTGTATGTTCGGCAGCCCTGAAAGAACCTGGGATTCAGCAGTGGGTAAAGGTCGCATTAGGCAGGGCCGGTATATCTGAGGGGAAGCTGACGGCCCCAGCTCCACTCTGCTGGGTTCTAGAACCTATAGAAACTAGGACTGTACCTTCCCTGCCCCAAGTCAGGTAAGTCACTCTGAAGGGGGCTCTGAGCTCAGAACCTTTAGGCTCGGACCTCTAGGGGTCTCCACAGCTCTGGAAACCCAGAGTCCCAGGGTCTGGGGAGGCTTATTCTGGAACAGAGGAGAGGGTAGATGACGGGGGATCTTTCTCTCATTTGAAAATGAACAGGCAGGAATTTAGTGGTCAGGTGCTCTAGTTCTGCTTGCAGTATTCTAATAAATCCCTTCTAGATGGTCAGCCAGTCCCTACTTAGACACTCGCAGTGACGGGATGCTCACTACCTGTAGGATAGACTGTCTTTCTTTGGAGAACATTTCATGTAAGTGGATTTTTAGGTCCTTTCAGAAGAAATCTGCCTCCCTACCACTTCTTCCTACTGGTTCTAGTTCTGCGCAAGAGAGCTACCTGGGAAAGTAAGGTTGAATGGTACAGGTATTAGTAATATGGGTGTGAGAATGTGGGACTTGAAACTTAGCTGTGTAACTACGGGCTTGTCCCTTAATCACGCTGAGCATCAGTTTCCTCATCGATAATAATAATACATACCTCACTGGATTGTTGTGAGGATTAATTAAGATAATGCAGGAAGAGTAAGTCACACAAGACCAGGAGAAAGAAAATGATTAATTCATTGTATCTATTATTCTAGATTAATCCCTCAACCACAGGACTATCTTGAGAGTTTGAGACAGTGGCGTCCTGGCCAAGAGGCCAGGGCAGCAATGATTTCAGGGAAGGGCACTCCCACTGCCTCCTGTGTCTACGCTCACCAGTGGTGAGGTCGTCCACAAGGGCAGTAGGCACGCGGAAGATGCCCACCGATGGCCAGGTTGACAAGGAGCATGTTGGTGACAGTGCGCATGCGCCGGTTCTTAAGCGCGGTGAAGCTGACCAGGGTGTTGCCCACCATGCGGAGGAGGAAGATGAGCACGTGGGCCGCAGTGAACACGGCTGCCCTGGTGAGCAGTGCTGGCAGTAGCAGGAGAAGGTGAGGTTTGCAGGTGGGGTGGCCTCGGCGTGACTCCCATTCTGGCTTGGGGGCCAGCTGCTTTGGAGGCTGGGAGGGCTCCCCTAGGAGCGAAGGAGCATATGGGTCCAGTCCTAGGCGAAGAAGACATGACTGACCTCTCACCACCGATGAGAACCTTCTGTTCTCCAAGCCCTGACCATGCCCTACTGCCCCGATCATGTGTTCGACTCCAGCCGTCACTGGATCCAACACTTTCACCCACAGCCGCTCACACCCTGATCTCAGACGTCCCAACCTGTCTCCCCCAACTGCTCATTTCCCAATGTCGGCTGTTCTCCGTTTGCAATCAACACCTCTCTGCCCCGTCTACCCTATTTTGCCGTGTATAATGAGCACTTTTTTGCCCGAATTTTTGAGGGAAAAATAAGGATGCACATTATACATGGGTAGTACTAATTTCGTATCTATATAAATGTTTTTAATTCTTTTATTTATGCTTATGCGTTAAAAGCATACCTCTAGAAAACAATGATATCTGTATGCAAAATAATACTGTGTAATACGATAATTGTTTTTTTTTTCTAAATATAAATAAATAAATAATGGGATTAAAAAACTAAAACAAAAGATTTTTCTCCTGAAAGTTTGGGCCAAAAACGTGGGTGTGCATTATATACAGCAAAACACAGGTATGCTCAGTCCTTCTCAGTCCTGCTCTCTGCCCCAGGCCGACAGCCGAGAGGCTGACCTGTAAGGACCATATCACCCAGGTTCCCTTGCCCTCTGACTTCTGATTGGGTTCAGCCAATGGGAGACACTGAGGGAGACTGAAGGACTGGAGAAGAGAGAAGTCAGAGGATTCATCTCTGCCTCCCTCTCTGCCTGGCCCATTTCTGCCTGTGGGGCTGTGTTTATGGGTACATCTCCTGTTAGGGGACTCATCGTCCATGAATCTAGAGCTCTTGCAGGGCCACAGAGACACTGTTCCCTTTCTGCACCAGCAGCTTCCTGTGCTTGCCAGTCCCAGGGGTACTTCACCATCCCCTGGCTGGTTCTCTTGTCTCCTCTTACCCCTGTAAAGTCCTCTGTTAAACTCTCTTCAGTTAAACCCTTTCTGAGTGTACCATGTATTTTCTTCTGGGACCCTGACTGTTATACCCTCAAAATCTTCGATGTCCTTCCTCACCATCTCCTCCACAGAACTTTGGCTGGGAGAATGAAAGGAGCAATTAAATTCACCAGAAGGACATCCAAAACCAAGGCCACCACCCATCCTTCACCTTCTCCCATCATGGTGATCAGCTGCTTCATTGCACAGCATTTAACAAAGCACTTCCATCTCCATTATTTAATCTAACCCCCTCCCCCGCCTCCACAAGCCACCACATGAGGTAAACACGTCAGGTATTAGCCCCATTTCAAATGGGAGAACAGGGCTCAGGGGGGTTCCGTGACTTGCTCAGGTGGCACAGGGCTATGCGGCAGAGCTGGCCCTGCCCTGAGTGTCTCTGAATCTGTTCCAGGCTCCACTGTGTGTTTCTCTAGCCACACTTGGAAGGGAGGGGCTCAGTGTCCAACCACAACTCTGCTGCGAAGTCATTAGATGTAGTGGTTAATGATGCTGTCTGATACACTCTCCTCCTGCCTTCCTCTGGGACTGAATGTGGCCTGATCCTGGGGATGAAGAGTCTTCAGGGAGTCTTCTGTCACATCCAGAGCTCAGCCACTGGCCTGCAGGCCTCCTGGAGGGTTGGGACCTAGAGACTAGACAGGCCTTGTGGGAGGACCAGGCCCAATGAGCTGGCACCATTGGGCTGCAGGGACCAGCAGGTGCCGAGGGGCAGAGCACCTGCTGGCAGAGGAAGAAGCTCGAGTTTCCAGTGCACAGTGAAGGGAGGAGATAACGCTCTCCTGTGTTGGCCCTTCCAGGAGCTTCTAATTGTACCCAAACATCTTTATTTTCATATGGAAAATGTCAAATGTACAAAAGAGAATGCTATACTGAACATATACAAGAGAACGTAGCTTAATGAACATTAGAAGAAAGAAGAGTATAAAGAACCCCCATGTATAAATCATCCTCTTTCCACAACGATCAACTCAAGGCCAATCTTGTTACACCAAACTCCCACCTCTCTTTGCATTATTTTGAAGCAAATATCACATGACTTTTTTTCATCGATAATATTTCAGCTTGTATCTCTAAAAAATAGGACTCAAAAAAACCCCATAAGCACAGTATCATTATCACACCTAATAAAATGAACAATTATGTCATAATATTATCAATTATCCAGCATCTGACATTCAAAATTCCTTGATTTTAACATAATTTTAAAATAATTGGCTCGTTTGAGTGAGGGTCCAAATGAGATTTCTGTTTCTATTATCTATTATTATGTGGCAAACCACTGCAAAGCTCAGCGGTGCAGCAGTGGGGCTTGGCAACATGGGTGGTCCTTCTGCCGGTCTCTCTGGGGCTCCCTCATGCAGCTGTGGGCATCCGATGGCTCAACGGGGCTGGAAGCCTCCAGATGAGCTGCTTTTCACGTGGCTGCTGTTTAACACTGGATATTGGCTGGGGTGTCCGGGTTGTCCTCCACATGGCCTCTCATCCGCCAGGAGGCTAGACTGGGCTTCTTCACAGCTTGGTGGACCCAGGTTTCCAAAACAGCAAGAGAAGCTACAGGCTTCTTAAGACATAGGCTCCAGAATGTTCTCACCATCACTTAGGCCACTCTCTGGTGGCCAAGGCAAGACATGGAGTCAGCCTAGATTCAAGCCCAAGGAGAAACAGTTTCCGCCTCTTGATAGGAGAAACAGCAAAGTTACATTGCAAAAGGTATGTGAACTCAGGAAATATGGTTCACTAAGGTTCATTATTGTAAAATCTACCACCATCTGCACATTGAATTTGGTTGATGTGGCTCCTAGGTCTCTTAGATTCTGAGTTCTCCTTCTATCTCCTTCCTCCCCTACAATTTATTTGTCATACAAATGACTGGGTAATTTGTAGAATTTCTCAGACTGGATTGTGTTGATTGCTTCCTCATGATGTCATTTTATATGTTATACTCTTTGTCCCCTGTATTTCCTTTAATCGATAAATAGATCTAGAGGCTTGATCAATTGTCTGGTGGGCTCTCTCTCTCTCTCTCTCTCTTTTTTTTTTTTTTTTTTTTTTGATGCTAAGCTTGATCAGAGAGCCCAGGAAATGCCAACCTGATCCCTCCACTGTTGAGTCGCTCATCAGCACTGCATTAGTGTTCTTGGCAGCAGCCACTGAACTAGGTTATTGCCTAGACCCCTCGTTGCATTCCAAATACAATTTGGACTCTTTACTGCGTGGTCTAGTTCCTGCAGCCATCTCTCTGGCCTCACTCCCTGACACTCTCCCCATTATGTTCTGGATGCCTTGTGATGGCTCCTATGCACTGTTGTTTTTTCCAGCTCCAGCTCCAAGGCCTTTATCTCTTCCTATTCCTTCTGCCTCTCCCCATTATTTGTGTGTGTGTTTGTTTATGAGAGAGAGGGGAAGGGAGAGAGAAACATCAGCTTGTTGTTCCACTTATTTATACATTTATTGGTTGATTCCTGTATGTGCCCTGACCAGGGATCGAACCGGCAATCTTGGCACATCAGATGACACTCTAACCAACTGAGATACCCAGCCAGGGCCTCTCTTCTCCTCTTTTAGCTTCCAGCTTAAATGTTGTCTTCTCAGAACAGCCTGACCTGATTATTATATTTAAAATAGGTGCCCCTCTATCGTCTCTCTCAGGATCCTGTTTATTTTCTTAAGCCTCTCAATATTTTCTTTGTTTTCAGGTTTATTGCTTCCCCTCCACCCCCAGCCTTGAAAGTCAGCTCCTGGAGAACAGGGACCTTCCCTGTCTTGTTGGCATCCATATACCCAGCATCCTCATCAGTGCCTGCCCCATGGTAAATGGTTCAATACATGATTGTTGACTGAGTAAATACTTGTTTGAACGAAAAAAGGAAGAAAATGTGAATCCTGACACCAGGTGACAGGATCCTGCTCCAAGCTGGCACTGCTGGTGTTGGAAGGCTTCCTCCAGGGTCGTGCAGACAGAACCCCCATCACAGAGTCTGCGGGGAGCCTCCCCAGGCGGGTCAGCCCTGCTGGGCCTCATAATCAACTCTGAATCTGTCTCCATGACCTGGGGAAACCTGGGGGTGTGGATGGGTAGAGGAAATTGCCAGAAACTGCCTGGCTAGTCTCCAGGTTGTCTGTTTCCCCCGCTGCCTCTCACACGGCCTCAGAGAATGGCTCAGTGAGCTCCTGTTCCGAAGTCTCTCTGGAAATGATGCTGCCCATCTCCCAATCCCTGGCTGAGCCTGGCATTGGTCTTCACTCTTAGGCCAGTTCCCAGCATTGTAGTCTGATTCTTTCTTGAGGAGGAAAAACTCCCTACTCCTGGCAACTCCCCTGTGCTGGGGGTGAGATGGAGTGGAGGCAGGCAGGCCTCCCGTCCCACCTGGTCTCCATGTCAGCAGCCTGAGACCTCAACACCCTTGACTTGTCCTTTCTGGGATCTGCCTCGTGTCCTTGTGGATACAGTATAGCCTGTGAAAATTTCATCTGCTGAACTCAATGAACTCCCATTGGGGGAGCTTCCTGGAGGTCTCGGGATATAATAACATTTGCCCCCAGGGCACACTGATGATCTCAGAGACCAAGCGCAGCACCACTGAAAGCTGAAGCCAGAGAGAAGATGCGGGTAGGGGGTGCACTGGTTCTCAACAATATCACCTGGAACTTGTTACAAATGGAAATTCTTAGGCCTCACCCTGATCTAGGGGATCAGAAACCCAGCTACCTCTGTTTCATCTTCTGGGTGATTCTGCCACACAGTCCAGTTTGAGAGTCACAGAACTAAAGGACCAGGACCAAAGACCCTGGAAACAGTGAATACACAGACTGGGAAGTCGCAGTGCTCCTTTCTGCCTCCTTCCCAGTGACTTCAGGCAATAGATTGAATGTTTGTGCCTTTTTCTTTCCAGATTTTTTCCCATTTTATTTTTTTTAATTTATAAATCATGTTTATTCTATTATAGTTGTCTCAATTTTTCCTCCTTTACCCTCCTCCACCCATCCCACCCCCACCCCACCCCCCGCTCCCACAGTCAATTCCCACTCTGTTGACCATGTCCATGGGGCATTCATACATGTTCTTTGTCTAGTCCCTTCCCCTTCTTTCCACCATCGTCCTCTCTCTCCATCCCTTCTGGTCACTTTCAGTCTGCTCCATGTTTCCTTGCCTGTGGTTTATTTTGTTGAATAGATTCCACTTAAAGGTGAGATCATATGGTATTCATCTTTCATCAGCTGGCTTATTTCACTTAGCTTAATCTCCAGTTCCATCCATGTTGTCACAAAAGGTAAGAGATTCACCTTTCTTTCTTTCTTTCTTTCTTTCTTTCTTTCTTTCTTTCTTAAATGGAGATTGATTTTCTTTATTTTTTAATGTCAAAGTTAATTATAAAATATTAAAAATTTTAAAACCATTATACAGTATCAGCAATTAAACCAACATGACACCAGCACAGAAATCAAGTAGATCAATGAAATATAATGAGCATTCTAGAGACAATATCTGTATATATCTGTCTAACAATGTAATATATGATTAAGTTGATATTTCAAATCAATGAGTAAAATAAGTCTTATTCAACAAATAAGGTGCATGGACCACTATTACTTGAAATAAAACAAATATAGAGCCATATTTCACACATTATACAAGAAATATTCAGGTGACTTAAAAATCAATAGGTAGAATCTAAGGAGTTTTAGGAGAAAATGCAAAATAATATTTTTCTTATCCTGAAGTAAAATATTCAAACCCAGAACCTACAAAGTAAAATGTTGACAGTATGACTATATTAAACATTTAAGACTGTACAGTAATATGCATATAAAAAAACTTAAAGGACAAGTAATAGAATAGGAAAGTATTTGCCACACATCTATAAAAGGGTTAATGGTTTGTTTTGTGTGTGGTTTTTTTTAGGGAAAAATATTCTACAAATATTTAATCAAAAAATGGATAAAGAATACCAAAAAGTCATTTAAAGCTTTTTAAAAATAATAGAAATAGGCAAGAAATATACAAAAACAGGTTTAGTTTCAACAAATAATAAAGGAACAATTCAAATAACACATCATTGTCACAATCAGATTAATACGTATTTAAAATATTGGTAATATCAAGTACTGGCAACTGTGAAAGGGACTGGGAATTCATAGAA